GGTTAGCAAAGCAGGCCCAGTGACTGTGGAGACCTAGTGGGGCAGGATAGAGGAAGTGAAGTAACTATGGGGACCCCAAGGGATTGTAAATTGAGCATGAGATATCTCAGTGGATGGTGGGAGATCTTGGGTGATTGGAAGCAGGGGGCTGTTCCACCACTAGCCCCCCATGGTCTTTCCTACCCTGAGATACCCCTTGTGCACTTAACCACCTGTGCATTTGATTAATGAATGCATTGAGGAAAGCAGGGAGGGACCACGTTCATTTAGCATGATCCAATTAACAAATCTTCAGGTTATGAATATAATTGGCAGACTCTATTACATTCATAACTGAGGGTTACCTGTATAAATTTAGTGCTAGCTTGACAGGGAGCCAGCAGAAAAGTGTCAGACAATGTAGTTCCTAGGCTGGTTTAGCAACTGAATAAGGAAGTTAGGCTACTCACTTTCTGAAAGGTACTTTAAGGAAAAAGAGAAGCTCTTGATTTATGAACTGCCAAAAATTACTTATGACCCAATTTTAAAGTCATGGCTATTACAGTGCTCCTGCTGTCATGTGCATAAAATTCAGGCACATTTGCCCTAATGACTAACTGCAGAGGCCTTGCAGTGCCCCCATTTAACTCCCTACCAATCCTGCCCTGTGGGTCTCCACAGGCCTTGGGTGTGCTTTCCTGCCCTACCCAGTCCTCACAGTTCTGCTTTACTTCCCCACCAAGTCCCACAACTTCCTCCTCCCCTTTCACTGATTACTTATTTACCTTCTGTAGCTTTCCAGAGCTGTAGACCTTGCATTGAGAAAGGAGAGTAAGTTGCCTTGTCCCTTGGCATCCCAAAGCTGTATGACTATATTCCAGAAAGGAGACCCATTTTTGGTGTGGCCACAATGAATTGTAGTGGCTCTGAAAATTGTATCTGGTTCAGGGATAGTGCCACATCACCTGAAGGGATGCCAAGCATTGGAGCAGCAAACCCTCCTTCCCCATTGCAAGATCCAGAGTTCCAGACCTCAACTACCTATGGATCCCTTGGAAGTCACATGATAGCACATCCTATTCTTTTATAATTTTCAGAGAATCTGGAAAATGCATAAACACACAACTCTCTCATGTGAATTCAGGGAATCTGGAAACCATGCAAGAGCACAGCCCATTCTCATGCAGTCTCCAGAGCCTCAGAACTTTGCACAAGAATGGGGGGGGTCCCTATTATGTTTTTTGAAGGCTGCAAAGGCTTCAGAAGAACATTCTCCAAAGCTATTTCAAGAACAAGGACCTGATGTGACCCAGAGTAGCCTGTTAACAGAAAGAAACCAGCATCTGAAGGTAAGAGGCAGACTACAGAACCAGGGTAGTATTTCATCACAGGGACAATTGTGCCTTAGAAATAAGAACAAGGTGGCTTTTTTGAATGACAGTGGTGGCACTAGGGCTGAAGTCAAGGGCTTTAATGCTGCCATTTATTGCTGCTGTTCAGGATGACCTAGATGCAGGGAGGGGGAGGGAAAGATAGAGACTTCTTCCACACACTACTCCAACTGTCCAGCTTGGACCATCATCTTAGTCTCTAGGGAATTGACTACTTACATCTTTGCACAAACCTTCTGATAATTCTACTGACTTGTTATTTCTAGAAATTTGATTATGTCTTCTTATAATCAATTCATGCTACATTCAAGTTGGTCTTCCTTCCCTTGCAATTTTCCAAAATCATCTTGTAAATCAGGAGCTGATCTTTTGTTCCTCTGCTGCTTGGTAAATTCTTATGGGGATATTTTTATGAATCTGAATTATTTCATAGATGCATGGCAAGAATAAGTGCATTAATATTTGATCATCTGATTTAAGAGGTGAATTTAATTTAAGATGTATCCCAATTTATCACCTAATTATTGGAGATATAACTATAAATCTGGAACATTCTACCATATGTGGTGGATGTGGCCCATCACAAGGAAGTATTGGTGTCAAATTCAAAAATGGTTGGAAGAAATTACAAAGCAAAAAATAGATTTGAAACCTGAATTGTTTTTATTAGGAATACTGGACCTGAAAATGAATAAAAACCTTCAATGCATTATATTGCACATACTTGCCACAGCAAGAATCACATTTGCAAAAAATTGGAAACAAAAAAATATACCGTCAGACGAAACTGTAATTAGGAAAACTCTAGAATGCACAGAGATGGATAAAATGACTATGGAGTTGAAAGAGAGAGAGGATTCGGACTATTATGAAATATGGAATAAAATGTACAGTTGGCTCGAAAATAGAAATCAGAACAAGAAATGTTTAACTTAATATTGATGAAATTTAAATTAAAGTAACTGAACATTAAATAAAGAGAGGTAAATATAAACAAATATAAATGTGTAGATAAGAACAAATGAATATTATAATGTGCGTGTGTGTGTGTGTGTGTGTGTGTGTGTGTATATATATATATATATATATATATGTCGGAGTACTGCGATTATTTTACTCTTGAGTAGTAAATAGAAATGATAGAATAGAGAACTACAAAAGCAAAGTACGTAAGTTGATAAATGCTGTAAAACTACGATTAATGTTATGTAATGTTCAATATGTTATGTTTTGCTCAATGTTCAATATGTTATGTTTTGAAACCCAGGGGTGGATTTCAAAACCCATCGCTACTGGTTCGCTCGTGGGTGCACACGCGCTTGGGTGGGCGGATCTGGGGCGAACTAATAGCAACCCACCACTGACTCTTGGGATGATTTGGGATAGATAAAATGCTGTGGTAAATTTTCTGTGAGTTGATTATACCATGTTTCTCCAAAAAGATGACCCACCTTGAAAAGAAGCCCTATCATGTTTTTGAGCACATGCGAACAAATTAAGCCCCATCCACAAAATTAGCCCTAATTAAGACCCCACTCCAGGATGCAGGGGTGGGGCAAGGTACACAGGTAAAAAATAAGCTAGGATTGGGATGTGGGGGTGGAGTTGCCCTATTTACCAGGCCTCACACACCCCGACACCTGCCTTGCCTTCTTCTGCAGCCGTTTCTTCTGCAGCCGCTTGCTTCCACTCGCACGCATCGCCCTGGGCTCCATTTCTCCTTTAGATGCCTGGTGGAAGGCATCTGAAAGTGAAACGGAGGCCAGGGCGATGCGTGCGAGTGGCGGCAAGCAGCCACAGAAGAAGTGGGCCAGCAGCGGGCTCTAGCTGGGCAGGGCGGTCGGTGCCACCACAGCGAGATGAATCAATAGTTAGAACCATCCAAATAGAAGGCCTAACCATTTTTTCGGGGGTCAAAAGAAAATAAGACCCGGCCTTCTTTTGGGAGAAACATGGTAATAACAGTTTATTAACAGAGGACTTTGAAATTTTAATCTTTCCTTTTTATTATTATTGTTTTTGTTAACTACTTTGTCATTAATAGATGGCAGGTTAATAATTTGCAAATTATTCCTCAAGCAGGAATATTCATGTGAATATTTGATCCATGATGAATTACTCTTCCAATCATCTCAAGTAGATGGTAGGAATGGATACTGTGGTTCAAGAGACTGTATTCAAAAAGCCCGACCCTGATATCTATGTAGGACAGAGCAGAAATACCAGCAACTGGTAAGACTGTTTCAATGCAGTGTAGCATGAAAACTCCATTTGAAAAATTGAAGATTGAAGATATTATGGCATGTTTGGAACAAATGTTTTTCAATGGGTTTTTTTTAACAAGACTAAGATCATGGTAATTATGACAGGAGAAGCAGTAACATCTTCCATTAACTGATCCTTACATTAGTCCATCACTGCATCTAGTTCACAATCTATAAAGATTCTCCTGACCCAAATGATTCAAACGAATAGAGTATTATCCATATACTAGTAAAATTGTATGTCATATCTTAATAATTATGATATAAATATTAAATATTTATTATTAAATATTACCAGGGATAGAAGTTAAATTGCCATGGGATCAAGTCACCCAATCATAAACTCTGAATATGACCCTTAAATACAATGCTTCAACATTCAAACCAAGGAAATGTAGTTTCTTTCTTCACAAAAGTCACCTATCAAAACAACTAAGACATATTAAGTCCTATAACTATGAACAAAGATTGGAATGAGTGCACAACTGCCACTCTATTAAATTCCTGCCCTAGCATAGGATTATTAGTAACTAGTTAATAGAATAGTTAAGACTGAATACACATCTATTCTCACACACAAAAAGTTTTAAAGTATTAAAGAAAATACTATATTCTGCTCACCATATCTTTCTTAATTTTGCTCAACTCTGACTTTAGATTTTTAATCCTGATGCTATGTTGTTTCTCCTGTTGAGATAGACACTCTTGTAAGGCTTCTTTCTCTAAGAGGAGTTTATTCACCTCTTGATTCTCTGTGGAATGTTTCTGTTGACCTGCTGGCAGAGATTTCTGAACTGCAGACAAAATCATTTCCGCTTCAGCTGGGATGTAAAGAAATTTAGCTAAGTCTATAATTAGTGACAACAGAAAATTAAACAAAACAAAAACAGATGCCTTCATAAAATACTGAATGCTAGAAAATCCATTTTACGATTCTGTTGGATTGTTATAGATAGCGTGTCTTGCAGATGTGTTTACATTCCACTGCATATTATTCCAGCAAATAATAGGTCTGAGTTTTGATCAAAGTGTCACCTTAAAATCAGTAAACTGAAGTTAAGGATTGCAAGATCAATAAGATCATTTGATAATAAGTTAGTATTGATACTATTATTTTCCAAGAAAAGGTTGGACACTCTTTTATTAGGATTCTGCACTTGCATATCTGAAGAAATTAATGTAGGCAAAGAAAAACATTTAGACTACCCAAAAAACCCACAGGCAATTAAGGCTATCTAGGTCCAGATCGAGTAGTGAGCCACTAAGTTCCACGGCTTGAGAAACAGAAGAAATGCTGAATCATGGTTCTTGGCAACAGAAGGAGCCTTGTTGATAGAGGACAGCAGCAATTTAAAGAGCACTGTGAGGGATGCAGCCAACAAGCCAGAGACAGTCTGGTAAAAAGCCCACCCCAGACCATCTGGATTAGAAGCCGAATGGACTGAGCCTTCCAGCAGGATACTACGTCTGTGATCAGGATATAAGACCAGCACTTCTCCAAAATGGGTCCTGCATGGTAAGAGTCTTTCTTTTCCCTTGCCAACAATTTGCTGATGTTCTCTCACAGCGCTCCTCCCTGGATTTGAATGGAAGCACTTAGGAATGACCAAACACAGGTGCGGACCCACCTGGGAAGGGGAATCTTGAAGATTCCAGCTCCCCATGGGAAGAGTTGGAAAGTCCCTGGGCAAATACATCATCCTTTTCAGCAGTTTGTTTTCTAAGGAAGTCAAAGTATTCAGTGTTTATTTCTTTTGAATTTTTCTTTCAATCTTGAGTTGAAATATCTAGAAATCCTTCTGCTTTTGTACTCTTTTTCTTTTTTCCCTGATCAAGTTACACAGAGCAACAAGGTATCACACTACTGACAAGCAGTAGTAGCTGAAATATGAGAAAAGACTTTCTGATAACATGCAATTTTTAGTTGAGAGCTTTTTTTCAAAGTTTGATCAGATGATAACGGTTGTGGAAAATACACAAAGGCATGTAGCTTTGAATAAGTTACCTTATTTTTCGGAGTATAAGACGCACCTTTTTCCCCCAAAAAAGAGGGTGAAAATCTGGGTGCCTCTTATACTCAGAATGCAGCCCCGCCCAGCCTCTCAAACCGAGGTTTCAGAGGTGAAAAAAGCCTTAGAAATGAAGCTTCAGAAAAAAGCCTCCAAACAGAGCTTCAGAAAAAAAGCCTCAAAACAGAGCTTCAGTTTTGTATTTTAACTTCCCTTTGAATAACTTTTTTTAAAAAAACAGAAAAAAGGATACCAGGCCAGCAAATTCTGCATTGTTGAAAGTATTGATTACCTTCAATCCGGCTGGACTATTGTAATGCTCTCTACATGGGGCTCCCCTTGAAGAGCACTCGGAGGCTCCAACTGGTCCAGAATGCGGCCGCGTGGGTGGTTATGGGCGCAACTCGTTGTGCCCGTGTGACACCCCTCCTGCGCGAGCTGCACTGGCTCCCAGTGGTCTTCCGGGTGCGATTCAAGATGCTGGTTACCACCTTTAAAGCGCTCCATGGCATAGGACCCAGGTATCTTCGAGACCGACTTCTGCCACCAATAGCCTCCCACCGGCCAGTTCGCTCCCACAGAGAGGGTCTCCTCAGGGGGCCATCGGCCAAGTTATGTCGGCTGGCGACACCCAGAGGGAGGGCCTTCTCTGTGGGAGCCCCAGCCCTATGGAATGAACTGCCCCCGGAAATTCGTAAGATCTCCAACCTCCGGGTGTTTCGTTGCGCATTGAAGACCCTGTTGTTCCGCCAGGCCGGGCTATCAACATAATGATTTTAAATTGGGGTATTTTAAATTTTTGGGGTTTTAAACCGGCCAAATCTATTTAATTATTTTAAATTTTAATCATTGTTGTGTCTTGTGTTTTTAAATTGGCTGTACACCGCCCTGAGTCCTTCGGGAGAAGGGCGGTAAAGAAATAAAATTATTATTATTATTATTATTATTATTAGTATTATTATTATTATTATTATTATTATTATTATTATTATTATTATTATAGAAGATCTACTGAATGCAAAAGGGCAATGATACCTGCTCATGACTGTTGTGGGCTACCACTCTGATATTAAAATATGTTGGATATGGAGAAGTGCAAAGTCCCAGCCTCTTTGTAAGTGCTGAAGCAAAAGTTCCTGCCGCCAGGCTCTGTGAGAAACCCTCAGAGTGATTTCTCTGGTTCCTTCCCTGAAGTTTTGGTGTATTTCCACCATAAAAGGCTAATCTTCACCCCTGCCAGACCTGCTCTGATTACTTCTTTGTCCTGCATAGGCTTTGATACAACAGTTGTGAAAGGCTCAGGGACACCAATAACCGTGGCTGAATATGTCATACAGATTGCAGGTATGTCAACATAGGTTCTGGCCTATTGCTCTTACTGCCCACAGAATAACAGAATAAGAGAGTTGGAAGCAACCTTGGAGGTCTTTTAGGTAGACTTTGATTTACAAAAGTTCATTTAGGGTTCAAAGTTACAACAGCACTGAAAAAATACCTATGCCCATTACTGTGTCCCCATGGTCATATGGTCAAAATTCAAATGCTTGGCAACTGATTCATATTTATGACAGTTGAAGTGTCCTGAGATCAAATGATAATGTTTTGCGACCTTCTAACAAACAAGTCAATGGGGAAGCTGGATTCATTTAGCAACCATGTTACTAACTTAACAACTGAAGAGATTCACTTAATAACAGTGGAAAGAAAGGTTGTAAAATGAGGCAAAATACATTTAACAACTGTGTCGCTTAGCAACAGAAATTCTGGGCTCAATCGTGGTCATACAATTATGCAGGAGGTTGGAGTAGAAGAACTTATACCATTGGACAAATTGCTGTCCAATCTCTTCTTAAAAACCTCCAGTGATGGAGCACCCACAAGTTCTGAAGGCAAGCCATTCAACTTATGGGAGCGACGTGGCGCTCCCATGTAACACCTCTCCTGCGCAAGCTGCACTGGCTCCCGGTGGTCTTCCGAGTGCGCTTCAAGGTTTTGGTTATCACCTTTAGAGCGCTCCATGGCTTAGGACCTGGTTATTTACGCGACCGCCTGCTACTACCAATAGCCTCCCACTGACCAGTACACTCCCATAGAGAGGGGCTCCTCTGGGTGCCGTCGGCCAAACAATGTCGACTGGCGGCCCCCAGGGGGAGAGCCTTCTCTGTGGGGGCACCTACTATCTGGAACGAGCTCCCCCCGGAGATACGGAGGATCCCGGATCTGCGTACCTTCCGTTGCACGCTCAAGACGTTCTTATTTCATCAAGCTGGCCTTTCCCCTTTTTAAATGGAAATTTTAAATTTGGTTTTAAATTATTGGGGTTTTAAATTTTCAGCCAAATTATTTAATTTGTTTTAATTTATTTTAAATTTTGTATTTATATGTTTTATTCTATGGCTGTTCACCACCCTGAGTCCTTCGGGAGTAGGGCGGTATACAAATTGAAATAATAAATAAATAAATAAACTGATTTAATAGTTCTCATTGTCAGGAATTTTCTTCTTAGTTCATTAGTTCTCCTTTGTTCTCTTCTTGATTAGTTTCCATCCATTGCTTCTTGTCCTGTCTTCGGGTGGCACCCTCTTCTTTGTAGCAGCCCCTCAAATTTGGAACACTACTATCATGTCACCCCTAGTTCTTTTCAATAGCCTAGATGTACCCAATTCCTGCAATTGTTCTTGTTGTCTTTCATCCATGCAGCAATGTTGGTAGACTCTTATTTACCAAAGAGCTTACTCAGGCCTGGAATGTTCCCAGTATACCAGACAATTGAAGAAGAAAAAGGGGCAACGGAAGAACATATAAAGAAAAAGAATGGCTGATGCTGGTATACCTTAATGACATCTGGAATACTGGCGAGACCAAACTGACTAAGCAAGACCAAATAAAGAATTATATAAATAATGAATATGAATATAAACACACACACACACACACACACACACATCACAACATCTGCCTATCCCAGATCCTTGGATCACTAGGTGAATAAAAATGCCAATCGAGTCTAAATATCTCGTTATTTTGTGACCAACCATAATAATAAAAATCAATCTGTTTGCTGACTGATGATGATATTTATATGTCATTAGCCCCCCCCACACACACACACAAAGAGCCTTGGTAGTACAGTGGTTTAATGCACCCTGTTATTAACACAGCTGCCTGCAATTTCTGCAGGTTCGAATCTTACCAGGCTCAAGGTTGATTCAGCCTTCCATCCTTTCTAAGGTAGGTTAAATGAGGACCCAGTTTGTGGGGGCAATAAACTGACTTTGTATAAATATACAAAAATATGAAGGCTATTGCTTAACGCATTTAAGCCGCCCTGAGTCTCCGGAGAAGGGCGGCATATAAATCAAATTTAAAAAAACAAAAAACAAACACCAAGTCAAAATTGTATCTCCCACTGTGAGCTGTACAAGAGATAACTAATCAGGTTCTTGGTTACCGTACTGGTTATCAACTCATAAACAGACTGGAATGGAAAATTAAAGACCCATGTAATCCCATAAACCCAGGGAACTCTACTGCCAATCCACCCATGGACTCAAACAGTTAGAGTGACTGTTATGAAGTAGAGAGGCTGTATACTAGCCTCAGTTCTGATCCTCAGCCCACCTTCACAAACATGGAATCATAATTGGCTATCTACTGAACAGCAGTCCTGTAAGGCATTTGGGATATTTGATAAAAATAGCTACACTTCTGCATAGTCATCCAGGTTGGATGTCTCAACATTATGAATAGAAATTGCCTACTATTATAAAGAATGACTGTAAACTGACAAGTGATATTCAACTTGCTGTATTTGCTCAGCACCCTTGCCTTGACCGGTAATAATCTCAATTAACTTAGTTGTTAAATGCAGAAGTAGCCAAATCATCAGAGAAAAGTATGGTAGTCAAATCATCAGAGAGGATAATAGAATTCCAACATTCATTCTTACCTAAAAAATTCTCATTGTAATGGAGTGATTTGGAACCATTCCAGTATTTGTCAACCAAGTTAAGTAAACATTGCATGGGTGTTGCTTCATATAAATTTGTATTCATCAGATGGGTTGTTCCTTGAGGTAATGCCTTAAATGAAACAAATATATCACAATTTATTTAGTATTAACCTTCTTATATGCTGAAAGCCAGATTAAAATAAAAACTATGTTGGTAACTAATTACAGTGCATGTAAAAAATTAAGTTGCAACTTGCTCCTTCACTTTTTCTGAAAAAAATTAAATCTGAAAAAGATGGACATAAGTTATGATGAGGAGGTTCACATAAAGTGCACTATGGATTCTGTATTCCTTCTTCTCCATTTCAGATGTAATATATTTGACTAAAGACTATCTTAGGTAGTTGCACATAAATATTGTAGTCTATTCATTGACACTTTGCATACTATTTAAAAACTTCAGCTTCAAATGATTAAGAATTAAAGCACTGTATTGTCTAACTCAGGGGTGTCAAACTAAAGGCCCGGGGGCCAGATCCACTCCGTGGGGTGCTTAGATCTGGCCCGCAGGGTCACCCTAGAAACAGCAAAGGACCAGCCAATGGTGCTTCTACCAGTGAAAATGGAGCAGGCTCGTTTTTGGCTGTGATGGCCTCCGGCCACCCCCTGCCAGTGAAAACAGAGCTCGGGGGCCCACACACGCAGAGGGTGGCAGGAGGCCGTCACAGCTGAATATGGAGCTCTGGAGCCCGTTTTCGCTGGCAGAGTGCTTGGGCCATCACAAATGCCCGACATGAGTGATGTCAAACTGGCCACGCCCACGCCCACGCCCAGATCCACCCCGGCCCCCAAGGTAAAACACAATCCTGATGCGGCCCTCAATGATAATTTTTCAAATTATCAGTTTCAAATGGAATCTGAGAAAATGAATTTATAAAGCTAATCATTTTTCAGTTCTCTGCCCAATGGGTTGTACAGTTAAATAAGATAGGAATTTTATTAAGAAATTATTTTTAAAAAATGGGAATAATTAGTATACAACTATTATTGTATAATATAATATATATATTATTCTATATATATATTCTTCTATTCAATTATTATGATTTTATGAATGCTATTCCCAAAGTGGGGCATGATAGCTCAGTGATTAAAGATGCTGAGCTTATTAGTTGGAAAGCTAACAACCTGGATTCGAGAGCAGAGCACCGCACAACAGGGTGAGCTCCCATTACTTGTCCAACTCCTGCCAACCTAGCAGTTTCAAAGCATGTAAGTGCAAGTAAATAAATGGATACTACTTTGGTGGGAAGGTAACAACATGCCATGCATTTTGGCACATAATAATGCTGGCCACATGACCCTGGAAGCATCTTTCGTCAATGCAGACTCCCTTGGTTAAGAAAGGGAGATGAGCACTGCCCCTAGAGTCAGACATCACTGGACAGGGAAAACCTTTACTTTTACCTTTATTTCAAGAACTCAAGAATGCAAAATAATGAAACACATATCTAAACAATGTGTTAAAATATCTATTCAATTAAGAACCTAGTCAATCAAAACCAGGTTAAAACTAAAACCTTGAAACTTTTCCAAAAAGAATTTGTAAGTGTGGACCATATAGTAATAATAAATTAAGAAAATGAAATAATTTCTGAGGTTATCATTAAAAAGATATAAAATAAAAAAAATTAATATATTATTTTTTAAATATAAACTACGCATAAAATTGGTTGCTGGTTAAGGTAAGATTATTTACTCCAAATAGTAAAATAGATTCTCTCTATTTTTTAGTTTTTAAATTAGAATTTAAATAAGTAGTCGTTTTTTTGCAGAAAACGGATGAATTGTGACCACTCTGAAGATGGTATCCAATTCTGGGATGTCACTATGTGGCCTGCAGGACTGCTGGGAGTGCTGGAGCCTACTCTCCTCCCCTAATACAAGCTCTGGAGCATTAGAGTTCAATAGAGGGTAAGTGAGTCATGGGTGAGAGGGAGGATGTTATGGGACCCAAGTAGGCCCAAGTCTGGTAAGGACTTAGCAGATGGGAAAGCAAGCCAAAGGCCTGTAGGGACCCTGGGAGATGGGAAGTGGAGCACAGGGTATCTCAACTGATGGGGGAGGCTCTGAAAGGTCCTCTTTGGTATCCTCTACTCTCAGGCATCCAAATGACTGCTCAGTTGCTCAACTGCTTTGGTAAGAGCAAGAGTGGAAGTCATGTGAAGCAATCATGTAGGTGCATTACTTAACAATCATCATGACTTGTGACCATAATATTATGGTCACAATATATTGCGTAGGTAGGTTCCATTATGGTTGTAAGTTGAGATCTATCTGTATTTGGAATAATCAGATATTTGTGATGATGATCTTCATCCATATTATTTCCATATATCTTGATTCCTTCAGTTTTCACTATTTTTCCCCATTTGATGGTAAGCATGACACATTTGTCCAGTCCAAACTCCATTGCAATATCTTGGCTGTATATACAGACAAGCAGCAATACTATTTCAGATGGTTTTTTTTTTCCACACAGCTTCAAGTTGTCCATGTAAAGGAAGTGGGTAATTTGGCAGTGTTCATGATGTTTATAGCCATGGCCCAAGTTATTCAGTATTGTTGACAGAGGAATCAGTGTAATGACAAACGGTAGTGCCTTTTTCTCCACTTTTTCTCCTATTATTACAAGTTCTTTCATTTCATCTTCTTTTTTATTCTTTTCCATATCCTTTAACCAAGCTGGATTCTTATTATATTTCTTTGGGTTATCCCATATCTTTGCCCAAAACTGCACTTTTCTTCCTTGCCAGGTACTGACTTATTCACTGCAGACTCTTCATTGACAGATTGGTAAGAATATTTTTAATTAGATGGAAATTGGAGATTATGCCTATAATTTGCAATTTAAGCTTCATATCAGTTAATCTTCTTGGCTATAGTTGTTATTTGCTGCTTTCTTTATTTCTAGTGCTTTCTTGTTCTACCTTGTTTCTAAGTGCTTGTCACTGAGTAGGTTTCCTTTGGTCTTCTTGTTCTTCAACTTCTTTTCTTGCATCTCTTCTAGTTTACTAGTTTAGTAATTTAATTTAATACTTCTAGCTGTTTCTTTGGAAAAAGCTTCAATACAGACAAGTTATTCTGTTTGTGTGTGTGCGCATGCGTGCATGTCATTCAAGATACTCAAATATTTTTTGCGTCAATTCTTCTAGTTTAATTAGAGGGTTTTCTTCTTTCTGAGAACACGTGTGCTCCCATTCCTGAACCGATAGTGAAGGCAAGTGGATTTCACCACTGCCTCAGATGAAACGTTTCCTTTAAAAATGTAGCATGTTTCAATAATTCACCTTCGAAGTCTTGTTTTGCATTTGAAATTAGCACTCAAAATTCTTTCAGAACCATTTGACCCAGGCCTTTTGCTCCATAGGACAATTAGCACCAGCAACTGAGTGGTGGGTGGGACAGTGGGCAATTGGCAGTGGATGGGGCAATCACGGGGGCTCTGGAGGCCCAGCAGACTTCATGGCAATCTTCACAGCTGCTTTTTATTTGCACAGGTGTAATGGGGATTGGCAGCAGTGTGCAGCAGGAATTGTGGAGGCGTGCGACCAAACTGCCCATTTGACATTTGGGCCAGAGCCAAGGCAGAGGCAAAATGGGAAGCAAACCATTTCAGAAACCATTTTAAAGCCACTATTTGTTGTCTATTGTGAAAAATTGCAAAAAAAATATTTTACAAAGCTGAAAAGACATAATTTTCAATCTTTTTACATGGATTGAAAGGAAATTCATTGAGTGATGGGTAAGCTTTAGATAGATTTTTCAATCTTAAAAAAGAAAACAAATAAAAAAAGCTCCAAAGTGCTTAATAAAAAATGAAGCTTGGTTGAACCTAGAGCCCATGAAGGACTGCATATATGGCCCAGGGCACTGTGGAATCTCTGACTACCAACTGACTGCAACTGACTGTAAAAATGTTGGTTTATCTATCTACTCACAAAAATATCAGCTGTTTCGAGTATGTATGGTTAATCTCTAGATTTCTCAGTGGCAGAGAGGATTTCATCAGTCTGGATTGCACACCAGCTGTTTTTTGTCTATAATGCCCCCACATCTGCAGAGCAGAGAAAACTGTGGATGTTATGCCCTGCCGCCACAAGAAACCCAGACTAGGAATATACATGATCAGCTTCCTGGTTGCTAGCATATACTTTGCATTTAACCACTTGCTGATTGACCTAATTGATTCCTACAGTTAAGAATTTATATCAAATTTATTGTGGATATTTTTACACACATATGTACATTCACCTACAGATGACACATAAAACATTCTATGGGATTCAATAAGGAAGGAAGGACTTATATTATATCTCAAATTTGCACATTTATTTTAAAAAATAGGACAGATAACTTACACCTCTGCCATTAAATCTCTGTTCTTTGAATCTAGATGCTTTTTGAACCGGTCCAACTATTTCCTGTGAAATGAGTAATGATTCATTCACTCCTGATGGGGAAACAAAAACAGGAAACAAAAAGAGGAAAGCAATTTAAACATTGCTTTCAGTGAAACATCTGAAACACAATAGTTAAGTTATTCAAATTTGTTGGATTAAGAGTAACTAGAATTAGGAGATGAAACGTTCAAGACAATCAGATTATTTTCATAAATATATATATATATACTTACCCAAAGCAACCGATTTATTTTGAAGATACATAAAAAATTAATTAAAGAAACAAATAACTAAAGTGTACTTTAGATTTCTAACAAAGTATCAGCAATTTCCTCAGCAGCCCATAGCAAAGGCAGAACAACAGATTATTTGTCTTCGGCCTACTACATTACAAAGACAAGATAAAGGAGGAGGTAAACACAGTATGAATTGCAGCATGATGCTGGGATATTTTTGATAAACCCATCTACATAGCCTTCTCATTAGTTATTCCTTCCTACTAGCATGGGAATGTCAGGAAGTTAACTACACTATAGCATTGATCAGACTTGGGCATTTAATATCCAGAATGGGACAATTGGCTGCAGCCACATGGCCATGGCTACTTCACCCCAGCCTAGCCTACCAGCCTAGCCTACCAGGGGGGATGGAGAACCCGTCTCCATCCCCCCTGCTAGATGCTTAACCCCAGCTCCCTTCCACAGACAATTCACTGAGGGCATTTCTCCCCTTCTGCCCCTCCCCCATGCTCCTCCCCTACCACTCTTGGCCCACCATTTTTTCCTGCTGCCTGGTCACAAGTGATGCGCAACAATACTAAGTACCATAGGTGATTCCCCACACCGGACAATTAGCCACCCACATCACATGGGTATACTGCACTGCCTGCCTGCCACCCTAGTTTGGTTGACAGCCCAGAATGATGCATGACAGCCTTGCCTCTGGCCATATTCAGTTCTCTCCCATTTGCCAGGCAGGGAGCAGCTGCAACAATGTGAAAGATGTGGAGAGGACAGTGGATCGAGAGAGGTAGGAGACACTTGCATAACCACTTCTGAAATATTTGCCAAGATTATTGTAGAGGCCATTCCAGATAATTGCCAGGCATCAACCCAATATCAAAGGCACTAAAACAAAAAGAGTGTGTGTGTGTGTGTGTGTGTGTGTGTGTGTGTGTGTGAGAGAGAGAGAGAGAGAGAGAGAGAGAGAGAGAGTGAGAGAGAGAGAGAGAGAGAGAGAGAGAGAGAGATATTTCCCTTCTCCTAAAAGTCACAAATTGGCTGCACAAGTTTTCATCCATCCAGGAGCGGAAAAAGGGGAGTTTCTTTGCTTCTTTGGAGGTGAAGCGAGCCTCTGCACATGTCAGGCCCAAAGCTGAACTGGAAGCACCTGTTTCTTTTCTCAGGGCTTCTGACTGACACAACGAAGGGGGGTAGTGATAGAAGCACATACACAGAATGTTTCCCCTTCTTCTGCTCCTGGATGGGTGATAACCTGCGCAGCCAGTACAGGGCTTTTAGGCAGTGGTTAAATCTAATTTTTTTTTACTATCTGTTCTGTGGGCGTGGCTTAATGGGCATGGTGTTGCTTGATGGGCGTGGGTTGGTGGGCATGGCAGGGGAAGGATACTGCAATATCTCCATTCCCTCTCCATTCCAGGGAAAGGATATTGCAAAATCTCCATTCCCACCCCATTCTGGGGCCAGCCAGAAGTGGTATTTGCCGGTTCTCCGAACTACTCAAAATTTCCGTTGCCGGTTCTCCAGAACCTGTCAGAACCTGCTGGATTTCACCCCTGCTTTTAGGGGAAGGGAAGAGTCACATGTGCACAGACACACAGATATTCACACACACATTCACACCTATTATTTTAATGCCTTTGAGTCTGTGTTATGCTGGGCAATTACTTGGAATGGTCTCTATAGTATTCTTGGCAAGTTGTTTTGGAAGTGGTTGTGCAAGTGCCTCCTCCCTCCCTCTTCCACTGAAACCACCATCCCATGCCTCTCGTACTGCTGCAGCTGCTCCCTGCTCAGAAAATGGGGGCAATCTGGGTAAGGCCAGAGGTGGGGTTGTCACACATCATTGGATGAATTTTGGGTTGGCAACAAAACCGGGGTGGCAGTATAATACAAAGATTAAGAAAAAAATAGATGGAAAAATTCAGAATGTGCTAGATGAGATTAAATTGAAAGAAATGAAAAAATCACCATACCACAATATACTTAATCAATTAAAATTATCCGGACAATAATTCTCCATGTTGACTGTTTTAGACATTGAAAAAAAACTGAAATATACAAAACAAAAATTCTTTGAACTTGCAAATAAACTAAGGAGATGGTTGGCACATAAATAAAAAAAATACAAAAAAAGGAAAAGATTTAATCTCGCTGAAAAATTCTCTTGTTAATAATGATTACAAATTTTTCACATCTATTTTAGCTGAAAACTTTTATGGGATTACATACATGAAGACCAATGTGGTTTTCTACCCAAAAGAAAACCGGTTGCATTGACTTTTTTGGATGCAAAGAAAGGACAATATAGAATAGTCTTTGATATAATTGAACATTAATAACAACAGTGACAAACAGGTTGCATTGATTTTTTTGGATGCAAAGAAAGCTTTTGACAATTTGAATTGGGATTTTATGTTTAAAATAGTCAAAAAGATGGATTTTAGACTGAGTTTTTTTATAGGGGCTGAAGTCCAAAAGGAACAAGACAGGAGTGCCCTTTATCCCCATTACTATTCATCTTGGTGTTGGAACTGTTAAACTAAAACATTAGACAAAATAATGGAATAAAGGGATTACAAATTAAAGCACGTAAATATAAACTTTGTGGCCTTTCCCGATTATTTGGGTTTGATTTTGCAAGACCCGCTGGAGAATATTGAACATGTTATAAAGAAGCTTTAAAAAACTGGAGAAATGATAGGGTTGAAAATAAATAAATAAAAGGTGACAATATTGGCAAAGATGAGAGAAAACTGGAAAATAAAACAGGATTTAAAGTTGTGAAAAAGATAAAGTACTTGGGGATGACTCTTAATAAAAACATTCTAAATTATATAACTATAGTTATGTTAAAATGTGGAATGAGATAAAGTTGAACATTCAGATTAGAAAAAGTATTTATCACTAAAGGGAAAAATTGCTTTTATTAAGATGAATGTATTACCTAAAATGTTATTTCTTTTTCAGACTATACTGATATTGATCAAAGACCTACCTTTGAAATAGTGGCAGAAAAATATATCCAAATTTATTTGGCAAAAAAACCCATCTAAGAATTAAATATAAGCTCCTACAAGATGCCAAAGAAAGTGGTGGCTTGTCAAATCTCAGATTTTATTACAAAGTCTATAGTTTGATATGGTTAAAAGATTGGATAACTTTGAAAATCTCAAGGGTATTAGATCTTGAAGGTTTTTTTTTTTTATTGAAAAAGTTTTTCAAATACAAATTTTCCCCCCCTTTTTCCCCCCCTCCTCCCTAACCCCCCTCCCCCTCCCCTCCCCCCGTGGCTTCTCCAAAATAAAACCCAAGTTAATAACAGATTATATAATACTTTACCATCCTTTTATTCCACCCCCCATATACTAACCCTTTCTTTCTAACAATATTATTATATCCCCCTTATACTATACATTTCAAAGCAACATTCAAAGCAACATTCAGCTGTAAAACTATATAATAAATCCTAATTTAGCAATTTCAACTCATAATCTATCCATTTCCTCCTCCCCCATACATATATCTCTTAATTCAAATCTTTTACATATATTAATATAACATAACATCCCTTTTCCTAAACTAAACAATCAGTAAACTAACCCACTTTCCTACAGGTCTACATACATAATATTTTCAATATCTTTATTCTTCTGCCCATTCCACTAAAAAAAAAAAATTTTTTTTTTACATATATATATATATATAAAATCCTCAAGTGACTTTAAATTTGTAATCCATATGATGTCTTCTGTAATGTTTCTCAACTGGATTGTTAGTTCCATTACCCATGTTAGGGTAACATCACATCCCTATTCCAACAGTATATTCAGTATCTTCAATTACCATCTGCCCCCATCAATAATAAATGTTTTCCTATATAAAAAACCACCCGAGTGACTTTAAATTTATATTCCATATAGTATCTTCTATAATGTCTTCCATCAAGATTATTAACAACCACCGTGTTGGGGTAATAACCAGATCTTCTGCATGCCCCAATCCCATGGTTCTCTTGCCTTATAGCTCAGCATAAA